ATGAGAAAAATGATGTTTATGAATATTTTCATAATTTAAAAATATCAGAAAGTATTTTTAAAACAATTAAAATAAAGAAAATAAGACAAAAATTATAAAAAAATATACTAAATATCAAAATAAAAATATGAAAAAATATTCATAAAATCAGAAATAATTCAAAGTATTTTGTATGTTTTTTTATAATTTTTGGATAAAAAATGAAAGAGTTATGAATTTTTGAAATTAAAATGAAATTAAAATGAAATTAAAAAATAAATTTGTAAAATAAAACAAATCAGAAAAAACTGTGTGCATTGGATCTTTCCTCACTAATACGCGCTGGCACATCCAACAGATCAGGGTTGAGGGAGTACCATGTACCCAAGGTTGAGCGCGCACATGAATCACAATAGAATCCAACCAATAGAATTAAAACAATCGGGTTGATGTCATTGGTTGAAGAACGACACGTAGGTCGTCTTTAACCTCCAGCCTCCTGCAAATAGGGAAAACCTCAAGTCGTTGAATCTGTAAATTTAAGCGCTCATAGTGGTACCAATAGACGCGTCTCTTCAAGACGATCACAACCATATCCTCGTGCCAAATTTATATAAAACACAACGTAGTTGATTTGGAAAAATTTACAGCAAGCATCAGTGAACATCATAGAACATTCCAGTAATTTGAGTTAGAAGATTTGGTGCCTTAAACTACCTGAACAAAGTAAGATGAATTTTCTCTGTAAATGGACTTGGCTAGCACAATTTCGGGCACTTCAGGGCATGATTCTTATTTTGTTAGCTTCAGGGAAGTTCAAGGATGAAGGATCAAGGAATAAATTGAATTGAAAAGTGGTAGAAATAAGGATTCGAAATCTCAAAAAAGGGTGTTTTGGAGAGAGTTTGACAGAGTGATTTTGGCTCTTCAAGCTTGAGGAAATGAATGTAATAAGGTCCTCTATTTATAGGAAAACGAATGGCAATGAAAATTGGAGAAAACAAATAAGTTTGGAGGGAAATTGAGTGGAGATTGGACACGAGTGAAGTGTGATCTCATTTTCACCAAAAATCATCCAATCTTTGCGTTTTGAGGTGCTAAACACTTCTGGAAAGTTTGTTAATGAAGTTTAAATCAAAAACACGCACAAATCTTGTGTTTAGAGGCCACATTCTGGATTTCAAAATCCTGACTTGTGAGAAATTCAGTTTCAAGTTACCAATTTCAAAACAATGGCATTTTCAACTCAAGGGGTCTTAGAGCATGATTCTTGAAGCTTTAGAAAGATGAGGTTACAAGCTTTATAATGTGAAAAGAATGGGATAAAATGGTTACTTGAGCTGAAAGTTGCAATGAGTCAAAGTTGAGAAAAAGAGGTTGACTTTCTATACTTAGAAAATTTCTAAGTTTTTCTTCAAAAATGACTTATAATCTCTTGTATTTAAACACGGCCTTCCTCTTGAAATTTACTCTTGACCAAAAAATATGGAATGAAGTAGATCTCTTGAGTGGAATTTTGAGACTTGAAACATTCAAAATCTCCAAAAAATGAGAAAGTTATGACTTGTTAAAGTTGGCAAAAATTCATGAAATGACCTATAATCTTTTGCATCCTTAGGGCATCTTACATATATTTTCACACTTTGCACATAAAACAAAGGTTGAAGTTCACATCTTCAAGATAATTATGGAAAAATAATGGGCTCGAGGTGATAAAAATTGATCAAGTTATGATCATTTGAAGTCACATGAAGGGATTTAAGGGTTCATCTAGAGGACTTGTAATCTTTCTTCATCATCAAGTTTCTTACACACAAAATTTACTTGAGACCTTTGAAGTGGCTTATTAATAACCCTTTTAAGAGAATTATGTCTTTAGAATCACTCAAAAATACCAAAAGATGAGAAAGATATACCCCTTTGAAGTTCAAAACCCTAGCTCCTAGAGCAAGAAAATACCTTGGGGAGAACTTTGCAATTTTAATCAACCTTCTTGCACAAATATTTTTATCTTGCAAATAGAGGTTGTTGAGGATGATAATGAGAATTCATATCAACCAACATCACTCACACATCTTGAGAATTGAAGTAGATATACACTTGTGATCAATGGAGACAAAGACTTGTCAAATTGAGTCAAACTTCTTTGGTTAACCCTTGTGCTTTTGAGCTAAATTTGACAACTTGAGGGATAATGAATCATGAAAGACTTTGTCATGATGTTACTTCAAAATATCTTTCATAGAGGCTTGAATCTCAATGAATCTTTGTTAAAGAAGGTACAAAGAAGGAACTCATGAATCCAAAAGCTGACTTTGATGGAATGCATTGTGCTTTCACCTACATCATCAATAATTAGGATACACATACATTATATTTGTTAGTTAAAGAGTAATAAAACATAGATGATCACAAAATACAAGTCAAGGTGCTTGTTAATTCCCCATAGAGAAAGACTAAAGATAGGGAGAAGAAGCAAACCCTAGTGTGTAACTTTGTTGTGATTGAATTGATATGATATGATGAAGGGGTCTTAGGGGCAAAAATTGGGGTACAACAACCATGACTTCACTTTGATCATCCAGCTTCTTTCTCAATTGTTCAGGTACATGCCTGAAACACATTGATCCAAAATCTCTAAGTTGACTCACATTTTTCTTCAATCCTGTCCAAGCCTCATGTGGTGTCTTTTCGACCATCTTCTTCGTTGGACATCTATTTAGAATATATATTGTTGTCGAAGCTGCTTCAGCCCAAAATATCTTAGGCATATCTTTAGCTTTCAACATACTTCTTGTCATGTTCAGTATACTTCTATTCTTTCTCTCAGCTATGCCATTATGTTGATGCGTATAGGATGTAATAACCTCATGATCTATACATTCCTTATTGCAAAATCTAGCAAATTCAGCAAAAGTATATTCACCACCCCCATCAGTTCTTAACTTCTTCAATTTGCAGGCACTTTGTTTCTCAGCATACAACTTGAACTTCTTGAACTGTGTGAATACCTCACTCTTCCTTTCAATAAGGTAAATCCACATGTGTCTGGTAAATTCATCAATGAAAGTAAGGAAATACCTTTTACCTCCATTTGACTTTACTTCAAAGGGTCCACACACATTAGAATGAACCAGTTCCAGTTTTTGCTTTGATTTTACGGGCAAGTCATATTTGAACGCCTTTCTTGCTTGTTTTGCCTTGCAACATTCCCCGCATACCTGCTTTGGTTCCTTTACATACGAAAACCTAAACACCGTCCTTTTCTGATTGAGCATGCATAAAATCTTGAAGTTTAGATGTCCATACATGTGATGCCATAGCCAGTTCTTGTCTTCTTTGTAGTTGAAGCAAGACATTTGTGATATGATGTGTTGAGTTCAACTTTGAACATTTTGTTCTCCGCCAATGGTACTTTCATTATTAGCCTCTCATCATCCCTATATACTTTCATTTGATTTTTCTCCAGCTTCATATTGAAGCCTTTTGCAAGTAATTGATCTACACTTATCAAATTACTTGTCATAGAAGGTACATACAATACTTGAGTGATAATAGCTTTTCGACCATCCTTCTTGATAATTAAAATATCTCCTTTACCATCTGATTTGATGTGCTTTCCATCTACAAACTTTATCACATTTTCGACTGACTCATCTAACTTGGTAAACCAGTTTTTATTGCCAGTCATGTGGTTGCTGCATCATGAATCCAGATACCACATGTTGTTTTTCTCAATGATCGGCTGAGTGTTCACCATCAACAACACATCATCTGAATCATTATCTTCAGCTTGTGCATATTGAGCGTCATCACTATTTTTCACCCTCGCAACTTTCTTTCTGCGACAATCTCTAGCATAGTGACCAAAACCTTGACACTTGTAACATTGCATCTCTTTCGTGTCAACTTTCTTTCCAGAATACTTGTTGCCCCCACCTTTCTTGATCGAATCAGTATTCTTGCTTGACTTCTCATCACTAGCAAGATTATTTCGCTGCTTCGACTTCTCTTTTCCAGCTTTCTTGCTGAATCTTGATTGCAATGCATGTTCAGTCACCTTCTCTCTTTCTGAGTTTCTCTGCTTCAACCTCATTTCATGAGCCTCCAATGAAGCTTGCAGTTCTTCCAACTTCATCTCAGATAGATTCTTGGCCTCTTCAATTGTCACTACAATGTAGTCAAAATCTACAACTAAAGATCTTAACGCTTTCTCAATCTTCTGCAGATTCGTAACCGATTCACCATATGCCTTCACCTAGTTTGTCAGCGTCATAATTCTTGAGAAATACAAGATTCCTTAGTGTTTGCAACTTCACCTTCTTCAATTTATCATCTCCACCATACAAGGTTTTTAGCTTTTCCCAAGCTCCTTTTCCTGTTTCTTCTTCAATTATTTTCTCAAATACATCAAAATCCACACACTCGTGAATCAAGAACAATGTTTTACCATCTTTCTTCCTTTGATCTTTGTGTGCAGTTTTCTGGGCTTCCGTCGCATCTGCTTCCAGTTCTGATACTCCATCATTCAAGATTTCAACAACATCTTGAAATCTGAAAATAGCCTTCATTCGCGCAACCCACCGCTGATCAGGCCGTCTTTGAAAATCGGTAGATTCGCTGGAAACTGTGTTGATGTTGTTGTTTTGTTTGCCATTAGATTCTCTATGAATCGCAACCGAGCTCTATTATACCAATTTGTTGGAACAAAAGGTTTTCAAGAAAGATGATTTAAGGAAGAGAAGAAGAAGAAGAGAGAAGAGAGAGAATTGAGAGTTTGTTATATGAATTATTTCTCATTATCAATGTGTATATTATTACAAACTCAACAGCCCTTTATATAGGCAAACAATGCCCAGACCCAATTACACAAAATGTTAAAGGCCAAAATATGATTTCGACATACTGTTGTATCTACTGTATTCGACTATGTCGAATACAACTTACAACCTATACAAAAGTTATTCAACATACACCAAACTAGCATTTCGACTTAACAAAAATTATACATCTAACACAATTCACTCAAGTTCATTGTTCCTAACTAGCATTTAACCCACATAACCCATTAACCTAGCATTAACCAATTCCAATCCAACTAGTTAACCTCACTGCACTTTAACTCAAATATTAACTCTACTAAACTACCGTCAACATTAACCTCTAACCATCTTCTTAAAACTCTTAACCACCTAAACTAACTATTTTATAACCTCCCACACTAATAGTAACAAACTTATAACCATTCCAATGAACCTATAGTTACATAACTAACTTTCAAGCTTCTAACAGAACTAACAACCTAACAGTTCACTAATTCACCTAGTTAACTAACTGCACTAACTCTCACTTTCCTAACTGCTAAAAACCTTAAACCCTCCACTAATTGAACTCTAACCAACATAACAGCCTGCCATAAACTAACAAACTGACCAAATCAGTTATGAACCTCAAACCAAACTTTCCCTCCTTTTTTATTTTATTCAAACTAACATGAAATCAATCCAAATCTCAACTAACACAATTTCTCTCAATTAACCTCTAAAACAAGCATACACTCTAACTGTTTTTGAGATTCAATCTCAACCCTCCTAAAGCCTAGTACACATATTGCCATCCTAGGGCTGAGAATCAATCCTCTATAACCAATTTTCCCTCCATATCTCTACCTCTCTAAACTATATAAACCTCCAAATTCTCACATTCATCATCAACAATCTCATTACAAATCCACTCTGCAGAAATTTCTCTACACACTCAATCTCTTCCAAACTCATCATCACCATCACAACAACCCTCACTAAATAGTAGAGATCAACACATAGGTGATTTAACATCATGCGATGCAACCTCAACCGATGGAAGGTTAGATGAGTGCAAACACATTCAAATGCAAAGTAATCAAAACATCATCTTGTCTAGTAAAATCTATGATGTCATGCGACTTTTAGAAACCAATCAAGACTTAGAACTTGATAAATGAGAATTTTACTCGGTGTTTTATGTTTATAGCACCAATCAAGACTCAGAACTTGATAATTGAGAGTTTTACTCGTGTTTCATGTTTATAGCACCACTAATCAAAGAAAATTAGAAGCAAAAAATCATCCTCCGAGGAAGCTACACACATATGGATAAGGGAAAACACGAAGTGAGGTCTCACGTACCTCCAATATTTATAAACTATACTGACATTGGTTTAAACGGGTTGCACAAATGCACGGGTTTTATTCCCTGACTATTATTTAAGCATCTACTCATTGTTGTGCCATTAACAGCTATGCTTGCTTGCATTGCTTTGAATGTCCCAAGGAAATGAACGAGCTGTTTTAGTCCCCTGCCTACCATTTAAATATCCACTTGAATTGTTTTACACTTCATGATTCATGCGTCAAACAACTAATTACACACATCAAATTACACAGCATGGTATTGTTTGACCTGGAGAGATAGATCAAGCATCTTATTAAGAGGATAGAGTACAGGCGGATCAGCTCAGAACTTCTGGATGAATTCGTAAATGTGATTACTGATTTCCTCTGCTGCTTCTTGATTGTTGAAATGAGCCACACCTTTTTGCACAATCACTTCCTCCAAATTTGGCACATCTTCCTTGAATCCTCCACCATGGACATACTCTTTCATGCCGGGCGTGGTGTATACTATGTCTAATTCACCTGTAATGAACTTCACAGGCACTTGTATTTTGAATCCACTCCATGGTGCTGTGAGCTCCCAATTTCTGCAATACAAATAGTTTAAATGTCATTAGAATTGAGAGTCTTTTCATAATTGTGAAAAACAATACTTGAAGCATAGAGAAAAAGAAATCTACAGGTTAAAGTTTCTATAGTAGTTCAATCCTCCAGTGAAGCCAGTTTTCTCAAATTTGGATACATAATATGCAAGATCATCTTCTGTGAGCCAAGAGGGCAAAGTGTCGGGGGTATCCGGGTTGAATCCAGTTCCATACTCCCCTTTTGGAAAAATCGGAGGACCAGTTTGGCGAGTCGTGAGGATATTTTTCAGCACATATGCAGTGCCAACTTCAGCCATCTCAGCTTCCATTTTCCCAGGTTCCTGTAATACAAATAAATAACAATTATGACATACAGATCTATCATTACAGCAATTTCTCATCAAACACCATCATCAAGAGAATAATCCCTCGGAAAACACCATCATCATCAAACACAACTCAGCCTAATATTCTTAATGATAAATATAAATATAAGATTGTAAAAGTAAAGACCTGAAATCTGCACATATAATAATCATCTCCATAAGCAGCACGCCTACCATCAATGGTTTTGATTTTTGGGTTTCTACGGACAAAAGGAACACTGAGACAAACATAGGCTTTGATTCTTTCAGGGCGAAATATGCATAGATACCATCCGATGAGAGCACCCCAATCATGAGCCACGAGGAACACTTGTTCAACACCGAGTGAATCGATGAGAGCGACTATGTCACCTACGATATGAAATCCTGTGTAGCTGCTTACTGAAGCGGGAGCATCGGTGTCGCCGTAGCCACGAAGATCTGGAGCCACGGCACGGTAGCCGAGGGAGCCGAGAGCAGCAATCTGGTGGCGCCATGAGTACCAGAGTTCAGGGAAGCCGTGAAGGAACAATACAACCGGTCCTTTTTTGCCTTTCTCAGCAATATGCATTTTAATGCCATTCACTTCCACAGTTCTGTGTTCAATTCCTTCCATCTTCTTTTTTCCTCAGCAGAAAGAAACTAGTATATGTTTGACAGTCACGAATAATAAACTACTATATCATGTCGGAGTCTACAACAAAGAAAGTTATTGTTTTTACTATATAGCGAGAAAGTTAATTTTATAGTATTTGTCTTATCTCTATTGATTTTAGTATCAGTATTAATTTAGAAATGAAAATTATTAACAGCAAAATACCATGTTTGTCATGTTTGATTTTTCTTCTTGGAAATCTTTTCTAACGTCAATTTTGTCCAACTAATGGTTTATTTCTCTTTCTCTCCATCTCCATTTCATTTCAATGTCCCATTTCAAAATTAATAATGATATTAATATACATTAATATACAATATTCTTTTAAATATAAAATAGAATATGTTTTAAGTTAGTCAAATGACTTAATAAGACGGTCAAACTTAGAGGCTCACTTCAACAACTACATCCATTTATATTAGGGGAGCCAAGACACCACTCTAAGGGTGGACATTGGTCGGTTTGGGCTGGATTTGGGCCCAATATGTCAAACCATGCAAAATCATGGATTTAAATATTAGGCCTAATTCCGACCAAAGTTGTAATCGGTTTGATCGGATTCAGTTTAATCGGTTTAATCGATTAAAATGGATCGGTTTGTTCGATTAATTAATATTAAATTGTCATAAAAAATTCAATTATATCTTAATTTTTTTAATTAAAATAATATTAAATAATAAATTTAAAGCAATAATAAAAATAATAAATGACTCAATTTAACACTATTTTACCTTCTAATTTACACTGTCTTCCAAATAAACTATAATCAAATTGTAAATTTCAACAGAGCCTGATATTTGCTGCAGCAAGTAGCTTACAACACATTCTATCAATATATTAGAATGGATTCCAAGCCTTGACTTTTTTGTAAGAACAGGATCACTACGAATTGGAGAAGTATGAGAAGGCTTCAAATATAATATCAAAATAATACATTCAATTTTGGACATAAAGTCTATAAGATAGTTTTTGTAGATGCCAACATTAAAAGAAAGCTTAAAATACACTATGAATACTTAAATTACATTCATCCTTCATATATAAATTAACATTAAAAGCCAACATGATGACACAACCAACACTAATTATAATTTTTGTTCACCATCATATTTCCAGCACTTAAACACCCACGGTAAGCTGCAAGAGAAGAGAAGTGTTCCACTGTAAGCTGCAAGAGAAGAGAAGTGTTATTTTAGAAATAATATATTTCGAAACTTTTGCTTCTAAACAAAATTATGCATGACCTTTCAAGTAAATTTTTTGCATACCAGAATGGGAGTTGTTGTTCCAAGGATGGAGCAATGAACTCTAGCTGTTCGGTGCCTGAATCTGCCAAAATACTTGAACCCTTGGAAAAATGAAGACAAAAAGAAATTAAAAACTTTAACAAAGGAGCTCAACTATCCGCAACAAATACAGCCTGAATAAGGAATATAAAGCTAGTATATAAAAGTGAAAATCAGTTAAAATCATTCTTTAGTTTTTATAAATATTCATTTTTAAATTATTTTGCTTATTTAAAAATATACATAATAATTTATTTGTATTTTTTAAAATAACAAATAAATGTGCGCTTTTATAAATAGTTTTAAAATCACTTTCTAGAAACATTAGACTTTCTAATTAATTGATAAAGTGCTTTCGTGATTTTTATCAAATAATTACTAAGCAAATTTAATTTTTTGTACTAGAGGGATTTCGATCTTACCGGTGTATAAATGATTCTACGCATGTGACTCTTAAATGGCTAAATACCATAAAGCAAACAAAATACCAGCATAATAGTGGAAACGTAAAACAAAATTACAATAAAACATGCACAAATCAAGTCGAATAAACAATATATTTTGGGGTCATCAATGAACACCACAAAGTACTTCTTTAGCTCTCATAGGCATACTGGATTTGAAGGCTAATCTAGATTGCTTTCCCACCAGACATATTGTGCATGAATTTTATGATATCTACACACTAGGGACACCAATCACCACCCCTTTTACACTAAGTTGGCTTAGGATTTTGTAATTCAAATGGCCATATCTCTTACGCCATAGCTCATCCTTATCTTCATGAGATGTTGCAGCAAGACATCTTAATTCAAAATTTTAGTTGCATACCTTAAAAGTTCTATTTCTCGTCAAGCAAGATTTTAATATTAGTCTCCTCTTGTGATCAAAGAGCTTTAGACAATCATCCCTCATTAGTACTGAAAATCCCTTCTACACCAGTTGCCCTACACTTAACAAGTTGCATTGCATATCTGGCACGAGCAATACATTCTTGATCACATATGGCTCACCATCATTCCTTTGTATGGCTACATGTCCCATTCCTTCCGCTATAATGGATTCATTATCATCCAGTTTGAATTAGCTAGTCTCTTCTTCCAGTCACATGGTTTTTGCAACTTGTGTCAAGATACCAGATTTGAGAGTTTGACATCTCAACATCAGTTACAGCCATGAGCACAACTCGATCTGAGTTTGAACCTGAGTTTCCTTGAGCAATCCAAGCTTCCTCTTCACCATCTTTGGACTTCTTTCCTTTTACAAACCAACATTCTTCTCCATAGTGTCCCATTTTCCCACAGTTGAAACATTTGTCCTTCTTTTTATCAAAAAGTTTCTTCTTGTTTTGATGCTTGACCGACCCTCCATCATCCTTGCTTGATGTAACATGCTTGTATTCACCACTCTTGGACTTCTTGCTTCTATTCTTCCACTTTTCTTTTCTTGCTTCTAAATTCTTAAATCTTGTAAGAAGTGTTTGGTCATCCTGTTTTTCGATTTCTCTTTCAGCTACCTTTATCTGATTGACTTCAAGTGTACTTTACAACTCTTCAGTCTCCATGCTATCCAGGTCTTTAGTTTCTTTGATGATCACCACTATGTGATTAAAGAAGGGAGACAATGTTCTCAATACTTTCTCAATGATTTTTACCTCATTGAGGGACTCGCCATATTACCTCAGCTAATTTTTCAAGGTTAGCAGTCTTGAGATACAATCACTTATCTTCTTATCATCCTTTATCTGCATTAGTTCGAGTTGCATTCTCAACGCTTGTAGCTTTACTTTTTTGACTTTAGCATTGTCACCAAAGTATCTTTCAAGTTTGTCCCATGCTGCTTAGAATCTCTTTTCTTATCTTCTTTGTAAGCTTTCTTCTGTGATGCAATTGCATTTGCAGGTAGAGCTTAGAGTACTGTTTCCATCATGTCACTAACAACTTTTGCACCAAAAAACACCTTCATTTGAGTCATCTATTTGTCCCCATTCTTTCCATCAAGAACAGGTAACGTGTTGCAAAGTTTCAATGATCCACCATGATTGATATCTCTTACAACCACACGAGTTCCTTAGGATCGACACAGCTCTAAATACTAATTTGTTGGAAAAAAACATATTTTGGAGAAAGAGAAAAAATAGTAATTAAAAAAGAGTTATGGAAAAGAAAGAGAACGACTGAGCTGTATTGAGTTTGATAGTTGTTTATATACAATTCATGTGTTACTTATTCAACAAGTAACGACTCATAACAAATTTAAAACAAACAAACAATTTTAACTAATTCCTCTTAGCATAACAACCTAGTAATGTAATAGCTTGGATTACCCTCAACATTAGTTACTGTTGACTATGAAAAATACTGTTTTCTATTGCCAATACCACGTAAGTTTCTTCTAATGTTGATGTAGTGAACTATCAGAAATCAGTCCTTTGATGAGTGTTAAAGATTCTTTAATTCTTCATTAGTCAAACATGGAGGTCATGCTTAACTAGAAGTAAATAAGTTAAAATATTTTTAATATTTTTCATGGTTTTTTTTGTTACATTGTTTGTCTCCAAATTTGGTAAGAATTATACACCATTTTTCACTCACCCTCTTAAATTCAAAACAAAAAAAAAAAAATACTACAAAAGGATGGTGTATGCATTGCATTATTACTTTATTCGGTATTAGATACAGTATATTTTAGTGACCCGGGTGAGATCTATTTAAACCAGAAAGATAGATCTAGTATCTTGTGGTAGAGTACAGGTGAACAATTATTTTAAGCATACACCACACGCAACTACTAAGAATCAAGCTGCATGATTATTTCATTCGCATATCATCTCAGAACTTCTTGATAAATTCATATATGTGATTACTGATCTCCTCTGCTGCTTCTTGATTGTTGAAATGAGCCACACCTTTTTGCACAATCACTTCCTCCAAATTTGGCACATCTTCTTTGAATCCTCCACCATGTACATACTCCTTCACACCGGGCGTGGTATATATCATATCTAACTCACCTGTAATGAACTTCACAGGCACTTGTATTTTGAATCCACTCCATGGTGCTGTGAGCTCCCAATTTCTGCTATACATATAGTTTAACTGTCGTTAGAACTGGAACTCGTTAATATTTGTGGAAAACAATTCTTGAAGCATAGAGAAACAGAAAGATACAAGTTAAAGTTTCTATAGTAGTTCAATCCTCCGGTGAAGCCCGTTTTCTCAAATTTGGAGACACAATAAGCAAGACCATCTTCTGTGAGCCAAGATGGCAAAGTATCAGGGGTATCCGGGTTGAATCCGGCTCCATACTCTCCCTTTGGAAATATTGGAGGACCTGTTTTCCGTGTTGTGAGGATATTTTTCAGCACATATTCAGTGCCAACTTCAGCCATCTCAGCTTCCATTTTGCCCGGTTCCTGTGATAGGATCAATAACAATTATGATATCATATGTGGATTACTTTAGTTGATTAAACTGTGAATTACCTGAAATCTGCAGATATAATAATCATCACCGAAAGCAGCACGCATACCATCAACAGTCCTGATTTTGGGGTCTCTATGGAGTAAGGGAACACTAAGACACACATAGGCTTTGATTCTTTCAGGTCGAAACATGCATAGATACCAACCCATGATGGCACCCATATCATGACCTACAAGGAACACTTGTTCAACACCGAGTGAATCGATGAGAGCGACGATGTCACCTACTATATGAAACGTTGCGTAACTACTTATAGAAGCAGGAGCTTCTGTGTCACCGTAGCCACGGAGATCTGGAGCCACTGCACGGTAACCGAGTGAGCCGAGAGCAGTAAGCTGGTGGCGCCATGAGTACCAGAGTTCAGGGAAGCCGTGAAGGAACAAGACAACTGGTCCTTCTTTGCCTTTCTCGGCGATATGCATTTTGATGCCATTCACTTCAACTGTTCTGTGTTCAATTCCTTCCATGAATGAACTCTTTTCCTGAGAGTAAATGTGAAGAAAGTTTTGCTGTGATGATATATTAAGAATGGATAATGCTACTAGTAGTAGAAGCAGAGGGACAGGAAAAAAAGTTGGTTAATTACTAAATATAGAAAATTAATTAATCATCACCAATGCCGTATTCCACAATGAATCAATTATTATAAGAGACGTACTCATGTAAAAAAAACACATCCATCTCATATTGTTAGAGTTTGAAAACTCACACCCCATTAATGAACATGATTATACATGATGAAGATGTATGAATCATAGAGACTATGAGAGAATGAGAGAGAAGGATAGAGAGAGAACTCTAAGGTCTCCTTAAGATTTTATTATGATTCATCAATTGAATACAAAGCATGCGCATGCTATATATACATCTCATGCATACTACCGCATGCTATATATACATCTCATGCATACTACCACAAGTTAGTTACTTAGAGATGAAGTTAGTTAGATAATCTAAATAACTTTTCTACATTCACAACTAACTTTATCCTACACATTTACTGTTTCTATATATCTAATACATATCATAGTGATTGAAATTTTATTAAAAACTATACACTAATGTTACAGGTTAAGACAATTTTGAGTCTGGTCTTAATTCAGCATCACACGATTTTGAGACGAATTTTCTTCCATGTCTCTTTAGCTTGAAGCATGAGCAAATATAAGAAGTCACGTACTTCATTAGTTCTCGTGTATCCAAAGGCAAATTTAATTTGCTTAAGGAAAAGCCAAATCAAGAAAATGGATTGTCATTCTTTAATCTATTCAAGTATCAAGAGACTACACATGCATGCTAAGTAATGTATGGTTGAGATTATTATGGGTAGTTAATTACGATATGTATTTATTTGTTAATAAAATATATATTTATACTGTATATTTCGAAAATATTAGCTCCGACTGGATTATGAAGTCGTTTGGGAAGAGAACTAGGCGAGTATCTGATCCATAAAAATGAGGAGTATTCGGGAGGAGGAGTAACTCGGCTAAAGGTACAGAACGACCATCATTATATCCGGGCAGCAACCCATCTGCGCTACCAACATGGATAGCACCTGTAATCAGAGTTCATCTGCTCATAGCCGATTAGCAACACAGCTCATTAATAACTATAATGGTTGCTGGCGCATTAAACCTAGCATTATGCAATCTTGAACAAACTCATTCATGGTGACAACAACAATTATGCAGTTAAGAAGTCAAAGAGTCATACCCTTGAATGAGGCTCTTAATGACGCAAAAGGAAGACTATAAAAAGGAGTCCCGCAAGAGGGATAAACAAGACATTCGTCTTGGAACAAGACGCATCATTGTTGTAGCTCCCAAATCCCCCAAATAATCTACAGAAATCTACCCATTACGGCTCTCCCTATACCTATAAGGAAGCTACTCGTTCATTATTTTTACGCAAGAACATTTTCCGCCCACTGTGGGGCCTCGGTAAAATTATCATAGGCCACACCTCAAACCACATTCAACAAAATGTCAACTGACGAGGATCCTCCAGACATGGCGCAACTACTGCCCATGGTGGAGGCCCTTAGACAATAGAATGGAACTCTACAGGATAGTGTAGCAGACCTGCAACTAAAAAGTCAAGAGGACCAACACATAGAAGAGAAGCTTCTGGAGCGACGGCCACTTTGTCAAGCCATATGAGACGACCAAGTCCCCGAAAACTTCAAATCACCGTCGTTCACATATTACGACGACAAAATTGATCCATATGAGTATATTATCGCAATCAAAATCAGATGGCAATAATAGGCCGTACTGAATCGCTGAAGTGTAAGCTTATGGCGAGAACCTTCAAAGACGTAGCTCTAAGGTGATACATGATGTTAGAACAAGATTGAATCTATGTTTAATCTCTGGATTTTAATGATAACAATACATATATTTTATATGTAAATAATTTTTTTTCTAATAGTTTCTTGAGTGTACAAATTAGAAGTTCTAATTGATTCAAGACTGTTGTCTGAAGAGTCATACTAAACACGCATTAGAAGACTATTGCATCCGATTTTGAAGTAACATCAGTGGTTCTGAAGAATGCTGAATGTTCTTCAGAAAGAGGATATCCTGTGTACTTCATCAAAAGTTGTTGCTTCAGAAGTCACAAGTGTAAGAACAAGATTTGGTTCTGCAATATTATCTATGAATTTTGATGATAACAAATGAGTATGATTGTATGAACAATTTTGTTATACTAACGTTTGTTATAGTTTAGTACTTAACAAACAGGTTCTTCTTCTGATGGATGGTATGGCCAAGACATTAGAAGAGAAATAATTCCGCTTCTATGCTACATAAGTTCTGTTGAACAGTAGCAAGACACTCCAGAAGGTCCCGAAGTGTAAGCTCTGATATTTTTCTGAAGAAACCAGTCAAAAAATCTGAAGACAAGTTGTTATATATGTCCAGATGCTGAAGACTCAAGCTTCTAAAGACAACATTTTCTAAGGAAACCAGTCATAAGATCTGAAGACAGAAGTTGTAAACTAAAGTTCAGATGCTGAAGATTCACGTTTCTAAAAGGCAGTGTGTTTCAAGAAACAAATTTAGAAGATCTGAAGACAAATTTTTCTACTGAAGTCCGATTTCTAAAAACTTAGTTTCTAAAAGAAAACTTGTTTTAAAGAAGACAGAGTTAAAATATATGAAGACAATGTTTTTAACTGAAGTCCAGATGCTAACGACTTTGTGTTTCTAATAACAAGGTTCTGAAGATAAGTATTCTTAAAGAACCATGTGCTAAAGATTCTAAAGACAGAAGGTCTGAAGATTCCAAAGACTTGAAGTTCTAAAGGTCCAAGGTTATCTACAAACAGGTTGTGAAGACCAAGCACTGAAGACTCTAAAGACACATTTCTTAAGACTCTGAAGACTTGAAGCTCTTATGATCTAAAGTTTCACTACAATGGGTTCTCACGACCAAGTGTTGAAGACTCTGAAGACGCAATTTTGAAGACTCTGAAGACTTGAAGTTCTGAATATCTTATGTTATATTCTCGCTCCTAATCTCATGCTAGCAGAAGCCTTTGAAGTGTAGAAGGAAGGAATATAACGGTAATACAATATAATAGTACACAGTATGAAAAGCTTTACGCTACTACCTCTCCACTAACTTGAAGTGTGGAAGAGATAAGGATGTCGTAGTACTATTGGTAAAAACTCTTTTTCAAATAGACAACGACTCTATTTTACTTGGCTATATAAGAAAAGAATCATATGTTTAAAATCATGGGTTTTTCATAGTTAGTTGGTTAGTGTGTTAGTCTGTTAGCTGGTTACTCAACATATGATGTCGAACAAGTTAAATATTGATAAGCTTGCTATAAGCTGCTTGGCTAGATGCTAAAAGCTGCAAGTTACAAGTCACAGGTTGTTGATGTTCAAGTTAAAAAGAAAAGCTTTCATTATTAAAACACAACAAAAACAGAGTTAGCATCCACTATAACAAAAAACCAGAACAACTATTATCAAATGAATCTTCAATCATGTCGATACTGATTATGATGAAATCATAGATTCACAATGTGCTTAATCTCATATGCTGCACAAAGCTTGCTAAGCCACAACAGATGATAAAGATGATCATGAAAGCTCCAATTACATATCCATAACTCAATATTGTGCTCTAAGGTGATCATTGAAGAAAGTAGAACAAGGTATGTTGTTCAGAATATTCTAAAGTGAATCTAGATGAAGAAGTTATTCTCTATACTAAATCAAGATCAACAAAGCTTTCAAAAGCTTATGAAGATGAAGACTTTAACAATTCAAGTGCTTTGGGTTGTTGTCTGAGAAGAAGCTACTTGAAGAAAAGAAGACCACACATTGAAGCTAAAATAAAATGTAATATCTTTTAGTGTGTATTAGGTTCTTCTGATGTATTTAATTTTGTTTACATCCAACTTGTGTAGAAGCATTATTACTGTAAACAAAAGTTAATAAAACAATTGTTTGATGGTTCCTTGAGAGACTCAGTTGAGTCAGAATTCTCAATAAGACTTTGGCTACAGCCATCGTAGATGAAATCCTGGTAGTGGTTTCTATTGGGTCAATGGTAGTCATATCTCAAAGGGGACTGAATGAAGGCCAACCTTCTGAGATCACTGATGGAAATCATTGGAAGGAAATCCTGATAGGAGATTCTGGAGAATCAGATTCTATTGGGTCAATAAACGTTATATCCGTTTTGGATCCTTGAATGGTTCATTGGATGTTAGTCATCGACGGTTTCCTGTGCGATTGTAATCATAATGATTATAGTGGATTAAGTCCTTGAGTTCAAGGCGAAATCACCTCAGAAGGATGGACTGGATTAGCTTTGGGGTTTCTTAAGTGAACCAGGATATATTGCGTGTTACTTACTTTTGCTTGTACTCTAGAGTTTATGATTTATGAACCAAATTAGAAGCATTAATTAGAAGCAACAATCATAAGCATTGTTCAACGAGTAATGCTTAAAAGTGAAAGTTTTACAAGAAAGGAAAACTCAATTCACCCCCCCTTTCTTGCGTTTTCTTCACACCTTC